AAGTCACCCATGAGAATCAGGGCATGCGATCTAGTAGCTTCCGTGAGTTGCCGGAAGAAAGCCTCATCTACCTCATCCCCCTGGTCCAGTGGTCTATAGCAGACTCCCACCACTACATCGCTCTTGTTGCACACACTTCTAAACTTAATCCAGAGACACTCAGGTTTTTCTACAGTTTCGTACCGGAGCTCTGAGCAGTCATACTGATCCCTTACATACAGTGCTACTCCCCCACCTTTTTTGCCCTGCCTGTCCTTCCTGAACAGTTTATAACCATCCATGACAGTACTCCAGTCATGTGAGTTATCCCACCAAGTCTCTGTTATTCCAATCACGTCATAGTTCCTTGATATCACCAGGACCTCCAGTTCTCCCTGCTTGTTTCCAAGGCTTTGTGCATTTGTATATAAGCTGTTATAAGAGATAACCTGTTGATCGCCCCTCATTCCCAGTATGAGGCAGGAGCCCTCCCCTCACAGACATTCCTGCCTGTGCTTCCTCCCGGTATCCCGCTTTCCCACTTACCTCAGGGCTTTGGTCTCCTTCCCCCGGTGAACCTAGTTTAAAGCCCTCCTCACTAGGTTAGCCAGCCTGCTGGCAAAGATGCTCTTCCCTCTCTTCGTAAGATGGAGCCCGTCTCTGCCCAGCACTCCTCCTTCATGGAACACCATCCCATGGTCAAAGAATCCAAAGCCTTCTCTCCGACACCACCTGCGTAGCCATTCGTTGACTTCCACGATTCGACGGTCCCTACCCAGGCCTTTTCCTTCCACGGGGAGGATGGACGAGAACACCACTTGCGCCTCCAACTCCTTTATCCTTCTTCCCAGAGCCACGTAGTCCGCAGTGATCCGCTCAAGGTCATTCTTGGCAGTATCATTGGTGCCCACGTGGAGAAGCAGGAAGGGGTAGCGATCCGAGGGCTTGATGAGTCTCGGCAGTCTCTCCGTCACATCGCGAATCTTAGCCCCTGGCAAGCAGCAGACTTCTTGGTTTTCCCGGTCAGGGCGGCAGATAGATGACTCAGTCCCCCGGAGGAGAGAGTCCCCGACCACCACCACCCGCCTTCTCCTCTTGGGAGTGGTGGTCGTGGAACCCCCAACCTCAGGACATCGCATCTCATGCCTTCCAACCAGCGGAGTCTCCTTCTGCTTTCTCGCCCCAGACATATCATCTGGTCCACTCTCCGCAACGGTACCTATGGAGAGAACATGAAAGCGGTTAGTTACCTGTGTCTGTGTTACTGGAACCCGGACATTCCGCTTACCTTTTCTGGAGGTCACAGGTTGCCAAGCTTCTTCACTGGCCTCTTGGCTCCTCTGTGCAACCTGCTCTATATCTTTAGAGCTTTGTGCCCCTAGAAGCCTATCCTGAGTTTTGTCTAGAAAATCCTCAGTTTCTCGTATGCAACGCAGGGTCGTTATCTGTTGCTCCAGACCTTCAATCTTCTCTTCCAATATGGAGACCAGCTTGCACTTCCACAAGATTCCACAAGATGCCTGTATTGAGTCAAATGGACGCATTTCATTTCCTGGGCTGCATGACAGGGCCTTGTCTCCAGAGTGGCATCCCAATACTCTTGGATTATTTACTCTTTCTGAGGGACTCAAGGCTGGCCCTCAATTCCATCAAGGTGTATTCAGCTGCCATTTAGCTCTTTTCACCCACTGGTGGATGGTCAATCCATTTTTGCCCACCCCCTACCTGTATGATCCTGGAAGGGCCTTTTTTGAAAATACCCCTCCCCCCCTTCAGCCTATTGTCCCCTAATGGGACCTTAACCTCGTCTTCACCTCATTGATGACCACCACCTTCGAACCTATGGTCTCCTTCTCTCTATCTCTCTTTTTTATGAATGTTGCTTTCCTCATCACCATTACATTGTCTAGGAGGATTGGCAAACTGGGAGCCATGGTGGCTAACCCGCTCTTCATGACTTTCCGTAATGACCAGGTCTCTCTATGCCTTCACCCCAAGTTTCTACCCAAGGTGATTTTCCAGTTCCACCTCAATCAAGCCATACATTTACCTACCTCCGAACAGTACTACTTTCAAAAGCTCTGGCTCCTGATGCATGGCGCATGTGCAAAACCCCTCAGTGGAATACAGATGGGAACCACACATCCCAAAGAATCTCCAGTTATAGGTCAGCAATTTTGTTTTTAAAATAATTGTGTGTGTTGTCAGTTTGATATTCCATATATGCAGGAGGGAGTTTCATCAATTTCCAAAGTAAGTTCCATAATGGAGCAGATCTATTTCTTCTAATATTCTGCCTATTGCAATAGCCAATATCACATGCCTCAGATGAGAGAGTCAAAGTCCTATATTTCACTTAATTGTGAAGTTATTTACCATTGGGGTGGTATTTCTTTTGTTCCCAGAAGATCATCTTAATCAGAAGTAATTATAGTATTTATAGTCCTTGTAATTGTATCTTAGCCAATGTAACCACATGAACTATTTTTATTCCTATAAATGAATAATCCTTTTGTGAATCTCACTAAACTTATTTACTTCAGTGATATATCTTGGATCAGTTTTTTTCACAGACACTCCTTATGGCCCTGATTTATTAAAGCACTGAAATAAGTGCTTAACATTTAGCATGTTCTTTAGTGCTTTCATGAACAGGAATGCTTTCCTGAAGCAGGCCCATAAGAAGAAGGGGGAAGTGGCTAATTCCTATTCCTTGATATTTTGTAGTATTGTTAGCACTATTAAAACCACTGTCGCAATTCACCCCAGAAGTGGCTGAATTGCTCTGAGGATGAAATTAAATATTTTATATAGATAGTAATTTTTAAACGCTCATGAAAGGCCCCATATAAATCATTTTTTATGCAAGATACTGTGTAATTTTCTTTTTACTGTTTTAAATTATACTAGTCTTATGGCTTTCAAAGCCTTGTTATTTTTGTGTTCTTGGAAAGGGCATATAGGAATGTCCATTTATGTTCGATATTATGTTGATGAGAGCATAGTGTAAACATCTATATAGCTACTGTTTATTGGTATATGTCTATTATTTCTTCTCATGTGTGTCCTTTTTAAACTAAGTAGTCTTTTAAATCTCTCATTTTATGAAAACAGTTCTTTTCCTGAAATATACATTTGCCCCTTTTCTAGAGCTTTCTTGTTTCTGCTAAGTTTGCAGCTGAGTATAGTCAAGCCTCTGCTGTAATTTATTTGGAAGTAGGGAGAAGGTGGGGCTGTATAAGGCTGTGTCGACACTTAAAATGCTACAGCGCTTCAGCGTAGACACTCACTACAGTGACTGTAGGATTTCCCGATCGCTGTAGGTAATCCACCTCCCTGAAAGGCGGGGGTAGCTAGGTCAGTGGAAGAATTCTTCCATCAACTTAATGCTGTCTACAACAAGGGTTAGGTCAACATAGCTGTGTCTCTCAAAACCGTGGATTTTTCAAACCCTTGAGAGATACAGCTGTGCTGATGTAAGTTTTCAGTGTAGACTAGCCTTATTACTTTGCGCACAGTAATGTCTTCCACTCAAGGATCTCAAAGCACTTTATACATATTAATTCACAAACTCAACAAGGCAGATAGTATTTGCATTTTAATGATGGGCAAACTGAAATACAGAGAAGTTATGACTTCTCTTAGTTTATATGATGAGGCTAGGTCTACACTATGACTTTCTGCTGGCATAGCTATTAGAGCTAGGTGAAATTTTTCAAACAAGTAGTCAATTCTCTGAAAAATGCAGTTTTGGTTGACCCAAAGCTAATCTTCTCTCTGTCTGATTCAGAGAAGGGATTTGAATCCACACCTTCTTCCGCCTAGCTGAGTGTCTTAATCATCAGGCTATAGAGTTGTTCGCACTCTCTATCTTTGGCAGAGTGAATATTTAAATATTTATACAAAATGGAATAGCTTCAACCGGAGAGATGCAGAACAGAATAGGCCCTGATCCTTCAATGAGCTCTGCACAGACAAGCCCCTTTTGTACATTGTACATTTTTCTCAGAACTAAATGAATAATTATAGTAGTAAATTCTTAATGTAAGTGTTAGAAATATAGAGTCATAGAGATTGATGCCGGAGGGGACCACCAGATCATGTAGTCTGACCTCCTGCATATGACAGGACACCAAAACCACCTAGAACCCCACACAAAACTCAGCAACCTAAATTAGATCAAAGTAGTATAGTAGTGATTATAGTACTGATTTCTAAATATTTTTTTTGAATTAATGAAAGTGAAATAATTGACTGTTCACTTCAGATTACATCATTTCATATTATTTCATTAACATTTGGTGTTTACCCTAAAAAAATCTACAGACTGCTCAGTTTATATTAATTTATTTTTATAGCTAATGTACAGAAAATAGTTATCAAGAATTTAATTTTTCAGTTACTAAACACCCTGTATTGCTTCGTGGTGCAGTAAAATAAATACCCTTTCCAGCAAGTGTTCCCTATTAAGTTAGACAGCTTTTTCTTTTTATATGGTATGCTGAAGATCAGATAATGTATGCACAGCTTGGAAGCTGCGTTAGTGTCAATTTGTATTTCTCACTAGAGTCTTTCCTTTTCCTGAAATTAGGTGTGGGTTGGTGTTGAACTTGGGGGTGAAGAGGTGGTAAGTTACACATCTGGTATGATTGTGGTTTCAGAAATCTACATCAGAGGGTTAGCAGTGAGGTATATCAGCTGCCACTCTTTTCATATTCTAGCTTCATCTCTCTGTTTTAGGATACAGTGCATAGGTTGCTACTGAATGACTAGCTAATTCTTATGTTGTAAAGGACTTTGCTTTTGAAAAAATTTACCTTATCTAAGTGATATTGATATTAAAGGGCCTTTCCTGTTTGAGGTTGATAAAAGACATAAAGGAAACATTTTTATAATGTTCAGGAATTTTTCATCTTGCTACTTCCATTGACTTCCTAAAATACTGAGACGTTTGTCAGATAACCTTGCCATGTTTTCATTTGCAACTTGTTAATCAAAAGATGTTTTTTTAAATTTTACAGAGTTTATCAAAACACAATAGAAGTAACATTGGAACAGAAGGTGGACCACCCCCTTTTGTGCCATTTGGGCAGGTATAGTCGTCTTTTTTTTTTTTTTTTTTTTTTTACACTTTTGACCTTGGTATAGATGTAATCAGGATTAATATTTTGTAAAATAATTTTAAAATCATAATGACTTGAAGTTCTATTGTTAGAATGGATAGAGTGACTATTTTCCTAACTAATAGGAAATGTGAAATCTTTATTTTAATACATTCTTTTTGATTTTTCAAGATAACACACTTTTTTACGTGTTTTCAAAATGTTAGTTAAATGCTTACCACTGTGGCAAATTGTTTCTTTAGATAATTCGGAATATTGCTGATTCCAACACCTCATAGATTTCAAGTCATGATCAAAATTGTCCCTTTACAATTAAAAAAAAATAAAATCCCAAAACACCCTGAAAATAACTTAAAATGCAATCTAATGGCTATTGAAAGTGTGTGTGGGAAAGAGAGATTACTTTTCAGTATATTTGACCTTGGTAGATGGAAGTCAGGGGTGTCAGGCTCTGATCCTTTATAAGTAACTGAAACATTTTGCCATAGACACCATGGCAGATATCAAGGCTAACATTCAATACATTGTCCAAGATAATACTGGCTGTGGACAATGAGGGAATTGTGTATTATTTTTATGACTATCTTATGCCCTGCAGTTATCTCTGATATTAGCCTGCCTAACTGCCAAGAGTTAAATTAAAAGAGACTGTTAAGGGAGAAACCAATGGAAAATGAAACAATGACACACATGAGAGTCCTGGAGGAAACCAAGGAAAAGCTTTTTATTGGGGAATACCCCAAATGACTCATCCAGGCTTGGATGGTCTACTCTTAGGCTGAGCCTAAGATCAAAGGGAATCCTAAATTTAAGAAAAAATGCTGTCCTTGGGAAAGAGGAGTGTGAGAATGGGTTGTGAGCACATGGAAGCTGACACCCAGATTGGCAGAGATAGGGGGAGTATGCTGTGAGCGGGACAGGTTCACTGATGTGAGTAATCTGCACCTCCCAGAGCTACTGATAGGCTAAATTTTTAGAAGGAAGAGCACATCAGATCTTTCATTCTATTAACTCATTTAGGAAAATGCTTTATGCCTTTGAGGAATGAACATATAATGCTTTGTTTTGAAGACACTGCTTTGTGTCACTGTTAATATACGCTTTCACTGGCTCCCAAATGGAAACTCTTACAGGAGCCAAAATTGGATTGTTAACGTAGTTATGAGCCAGTGGGACTGCAGCCTAGAGATCTAGTCTGTAAGTGGTCAAACGTGAGGTTCCACCCAGAATTAGGTGCAGAAGGCCCGGTCTGTCACCTAAGAGATGCATTTGAGGGGGACTAAAAAGAGGTCTGAGGCACAGTTTGCCCTGTAGCCATGTCTCTGGCTGACTGCTTAATTATTTCTGTTCAGACCACAATATCTTGGACCCCTAAAAATAAAATAAATAGTATCTAGTTGTGTCTCTGTGAATTCCAGATATTTCACAGGAGCAGGCTTGGACTTCAGGTTATTTATTAAGATCCCTAGTAACTCTTGCAATCAATCATGTGATGATACTGGTGGATCCTTGGATACCTGCCAAAGTACTGAACTTGGTCAACCCATCATCCAGAGAATTGTTCAACACTAGTTATCTTTGAGACCCGATAACTCTAAGTGGTTGGCAAATACAAAATGCTGCTCCACTATCAGATATCTGGTGTGTATGTGAGCCAAAATATACAACTTTAGGGGTGCCTAAAGTTAAACACTTAATAGATTTTAGAGGTGTTGTGCATCCCCAACTCACACAGAAGACAATGGGATTTGCTTTAATACCTCTGATGATCATTTTTATTTAGGGGTTTACCTAATGAATTTATAGCTAGCGCCTGTGAGCCAAGTTCAAAAATTTTAACTTTGGCTTTTGAAAACTTCCCCTTATAATTTTTCTTGCCACATTTCCCTGGCAACTGGATCTTCCATCCTTGGAGGGTTAGACTGTGTGCCAAAATTTTGATCCCCTCCTCCTTTACTAGAGGTGAAAGTTTGAAGGCCACTTTCTCCCATGGACCAGACATATGTTGTAAACCAAGATGTTTAGTTGTCCCAACTGTATATTTTTTGTGATTAACTCTTTTCAAAAGTTAATACTCTAATGAAATATGAATATTTTGTTCTGTAACTGAAAATAGAAAGGAGAGAGTAAATTTCTGTAATACTGCTTTTGTGTTACAGAAATGTGTGTCTTCTGTGCAAGTGGACAGCAGGGAACTTGATCAGAGAAAGACTCTGCAAATGATGAGCACTGCTAAGCCTGTTGGAGACAATGATGAATTTGAAAAACAGAGAACAGCTGCTATTGCAGAAGTAGCAAAGAGCAAGGAGGTTAGAATATACATTTGCTACAGTATTTTATTTACTGTACTTCATTATTTTAGTTTTTTCAAGTATTTATTTCCTTAATGTGAGTCACATTATGGTGTCTGTTTTCGTAAGTTCCTTTGTCTACCAAATATTTAGAAAAGGGAGAACACACATCATATTTTCAAAGACTCATTGCCTTAGATTTTTTATTTTTCTAAAGAGGTAATATGATGTAGACTGACCACAGAATATTTTCTTGTGGATCTAATTTTGACCTAACCAAGTCTGCTAAAATATGATGAATTTTATAATTCAGTTTTGCTTTATGCAGACAGTACAATTTGAGTAAGCAAAACTTGCTTACTAGGTGGCCTGTATTGAAGCTATTTTGATGCTGAGATTAAGGTAATGGTATTAAATTCAACCACTATTTCCAACTCCCAAAAAACTTTGATTCATTATGTTCAGTAATGTTGAATTGTATGGAACTTAACATGTTTAATCCTTGGGTTATTTTATATCCTTCCTTACACTTTTCCATTTAATTTTATTTTTATGATTTGCCTTACAGTAACTCATAAAACTTAAAATTATATCACTGTTTTTACAGCCTCGCCTGGACATAGGGGAGAAGGGAAATTCTAGCTAGTAAATTACTCTGTTATTTTATGGAAATTAACATTTTATTTGTCTATATAAAGGATAACGATAAACATTTAGGTACCTGAGATTTACTGCATTTTTCTGTAGCATCTTAAAGGTTATTTTCCTAATTGTGTTGTTTACTGAAGGTTTTTTCCCTTCTTATCTAAAGACCAAGACATTTGGAGGAGGCGGTGGCAGTACTAGAAGCAATCTTAATGTGAGTGCTGGAGGGAATCGAAACAGGGAAGTGTTCCAGAAAGAAAAGATAACAAAACCTGAGGGGAAAAATGAAGGTGTCTATCGTGAACTGGTAAGGCTGAGGATCTAAATGGAACCTTAAATATCAGTATTTGACATGTAGACTAAAAACTATGAGATAGTAAATTTTCCTTTAGTTTCTGTAAAAGGTTGTATAGATTTCTGTATTTTACTCTCTGTTGAGATTGGTTTATTTTCATGGAATACCTAACTCATGGAGGATACAATTAATCAGGCTGTATATTGCAACTGAGTAGAAACTCTCACAAAACAAAAAATTGTAACATTTGTGTGATAGGCTCATTACAGTAATATTTTTCTCTCTTGAATTTTAAAATAAATGCAGCAGTTTGCAAGTTGAAGTAACTTAACTGTTATAATCAATGGCAATTTTATACCACATTTTAAGACTATTTTCCTTCTGGATTCGTATTAGTTTATCATCAAAAGAATATGCTTACTGTTTCGTGTTTAAACCATGCAGTGAAGTACTGCTTCTGCTATTTTAGCTGGTAATAAAAGAGGGAAACTCCTGTTAATTCTCATCCTGGAACCCCATGCTGTCTGGGTCACAAATAATGTCTCTCGTTTTGTAAGATGGGGGCCGCTGGCAGGAGGCTCAGAACTATCCATTTTAATTCAAAACAATATTTTCAAATCTATATCACAGTTACTTGGTGAGAAGTTGTCAAGGTTCCTTCCCCACTCTGAACTCTGTGGTACAGATGTGGGAACCTGCATGAAAACCCCCTAAGCTTATTTTTACCAGCTTAGGTTAAAACTTCCCCAAGGTACAAACTATTTTACCTTTTGCCCTCCCCTAACCCTACACCCCCTTTCCTGGGGAAGGCTTGATAAAAATCCTCACCAATTTGCATAGGGGAACACAAACCCAAACCATTGGATCTCAAGAACAATGAAAAAGCAATCAGGTTCTTAAAAGAAGAATTTTAATTGAGGAAAAAGTAAAAGAATCACCTCTGTAAAATCAGGATGGTAAATACCTTACGAGGTAATCAGACTCAAAACATAGAGAATCCCTTTAGGCAAAAACTTAAGTTACAAAAAGACCCAAAAACAGGAATATACATTCCATTCAGTAAGGTTTATTTTATCAGCCATTTAAACAAAACAGAATCTAACACATATCTAGCTAGATTACTTACTAAGTTCTAAGGCTCCATTCCTTTTCTGTTCCCGGCAAAAACATCACACAGACAGAGAGAACCTTTGTTTCTCCCCCCCTCCAGCTTTGAAAGTATCTTGTCTCCTCATTGGTCATTTTGGTCAGGTTCCAGTGAGGTTATCCTAGCTTCTTAACCCTTTACAGGTGAAAGGGTTTTTCCTCTGGCCAGGAGGGATTTTAAAGGTGTTTACCCTTCCCTTTATATTTATGACAGAAGTGTAATTAGTTATGTGAACTTTCAGAACACTCCACTGAGCAAAATTGATAGTATATACAAACAGTCCTTAAAAAAACCTTGCATCTATTTTGCTCGGTCCGATGGTCTATAAGTTCATAAGGTTAGAAATGTTTTTCGCTATGAACAAACCATGAAAGATATTTTTAAGTATGTAATTGCAATTGACATTTTGTGTTTTAGTGCTGGAGGCAGACATCTTGCTGGAAAGCGGTGTCATTTGTGACAATGGGGTAACACCATAGAAGAGACAGTAAACTAGTTTGACCTGCTTTAATAATTGCTTAATAATATAAAAATATAAAAATATTGTGTATGTCTAGTTTTTCTTCCAACTGTTAAAACCATTGATAAAGCAGGTTAGAGACTGGTTTAAAGTAACTGTTTAATAGGATTTTTAGACCGTGTGTGTCATAAATGCCATCTGTTTTCAGCAAGATGGCTGCCTCCAGCACTGGATTTAAAAATGCTAAATGTAATTAAAGACTTAAAAAAAAAAAAAGTCAGAGATCATTAATGTGGTAAGTGTTTCTTACATTTATATCCTAATGTGAGATACATGTCACAGATACAGTACAGTTTATATGGAGTTGAAAAAATGGAATTTTTCATAAGTTAAGTTATAATATTCTGCCTTCCTCACATGACCAACTCCAACTGCATGAGGGGTGTAGTGCTTAGGTTGACATAGGGTGATGCAGTGTCAGTCTAGACACGCAATTACATCAACTTCAGTGATCTCCAGGAAGTGTCCCACAATGCCCCCCTACTCCATGACCGGTCTGGTCACCATTTTGAGCTCCGCTGCCAGATATACAGGTACATGCCCTTCTCCTTTTAAAGCCCCATGAATTTTTGAAATTCCATTTCCTGTTTGCTCAGCATGGAGAGCTCACATAGCAACTGCATGGCTGACCGTGCTGGCTCTACACTGCAGACATGTTCCTGCCTGGAGTACACCAGAGGTGATGGATCTCCTGGGTCTATAGGGAAAAGAGGCTGTGCAGACATAGCTCTGATCCAACCACAGAAATGTCAATATCTATGAGCAAATCACTTGGGGCATGGGAGCGAAGATCTACAACAGGGACATGCAGCAGTGCCATGTGAAAGTCAAGGACCCTGTGGCAGGTGTACCAGAAGTCAAGTTGCTCTGATGTGGAACTATAGACATGCCACTTTGACAAAGAGTTTCATGCCATCCTTGGCAGTGACCCATCACCATCTACAAGGGCCCCATGTGTACTTGGGAGGAGTCACAGTCACAGGCTACTGGAGTGAACCCTGAGGACGAGGTGTTGGACAAGGAAGAGGAGGAGGAGAATGGGGGACAGGCAACCCGGGATCCAATGACTCAGTGAGCCAGGACCTCTTTATGATCTGTTCATTTACTCATTGTTACCATGCTACAAGACATAGTGAAATAACCAGTAGAGGTAGAGTTGCTATCTGCTTCTCATTCCCCTGTACAGTTAGGCAGAGGGGACCCTGCAGAACAGTTTGTTATGTGTACCAAGATGTCCTGTGAATCCTCCATAGAGATCTCGAGGAAACTTTCCTGGAGGTACCCTGCAATCCTCTATTGAAGACTACCGGGAATGGCTGCCTTATTTCTTCCACACTTTTCCACACCACTCAGCAGGCATCATTGCAGCACACAGGCTAGCACCCTATGGACCCGGTCTGCAGCTGGACATGTGCAGGAGCAGCTCCCTTTCAGCCTCCGTTACTCTCAGGAATGAGATATCAGCTGAAGTCACCACTGCCTGTGGAAAATGGTGCCAGTATTCAGTTTAGTTACCCTAGCTGCATATACTCATGCCTGTGAGCTCCCCTCCCTCTTACTGTGCCAGCTCGCCCCCTCCCTCTCCACACTATATTTGCCGTGTCTGGGACTCTATGAATTCCAAGCAGAAGTGAGAATGTTGTGCTTATAACTTGTGTGGATCAAGGGGAGTGAGTTCAGTATACCAAGTTTCCATTTATCTTGTGAATACACTCACAATAGTACCTCTGTGCATTGTATTTTTTTGCAGCTGGAAATGTGGCCTTGAGGGTCTTTCCAACCACAGCAGTGGAGTAACTCAGCCAGATAAGGAAGAGGGCGCAGGATGATGTGTTTGAAGAGATGCTGCAAGCCTTTAGTGCTGCGGGTACTGAGCACAGGGCTTGGAGGATCAAGCTCGTGGGCAGAATGGACAGGGATAGTGCGGACAGGAGAAAAGCATGGAAAAAGGAGAATGATGTGACACAGGAGATGATAGCACTTCTGAAGCATCAGTCAGACATGCCGGAGAGGCTTGTTGACCTTCAGGCTCAAAAAAATCCATGATTGCCTCCCTCTGCAGCCCATAGAGAACTGCACTCTGGGACTTCCCTACACTTCCTCCGCCCACATTCCACGTGACATCTGCGGCCGTTGCACTATCCCTACCACTCCACCCCCACAGAGAGTACGGACCATCACAGCCGCATATACACCAACCTTTGAGAGAGACAATTGGTGTATGTGTTTGCAAAATGGAAATGTTCTTTCCCCTTCAAAAGTTCTTTTCCCTGTATTCATAAAGTTTCATTCAGTTATAAATGTCTGTTTGCATGTGTTTGGAATAAAACTCTATTTATGGAAACTTAATTCATATTTATTAGTTCACAACATATGGTGGCCGGGGCTGACATCATTCACAGTTAATAGTGATAGGGGCATTTGCAGTGTTATATTACCACTTGCACAGCACTCCTTACAAGATTCATACTGGGGTGCAAAAAAAAACAAAACAAAAAACAAAAAAACAGGCACACTACACAACAGTAACACACATTACTGTGGCTCCTTATTAAAATGGTCTTTACTCCCTGATCCAAATAGCTCTTTTTATAGCTCTGGTGTCTCAAAATCATATAGCTCAAAATCAGCAGACAGCCATTCCACCTTCACCCTCTTGGAAACTTCTCCCCCCTTGCTTTAGAGAGATTCTGAAATGCACAGCTGGCAGTTACAACCATGGGGATTTTTTTCACTGAGGTCTAATATTGTGAGTAGACAGTGACAGCGGCCTTTCAAGCAGCCAAAGGCACTTTCAGCTGTCATTGTGCACCTGCTGAGTCTATGGTTGAAGCGTTCCTTGCTGCTGTCGAGGTGGCCAGTGAACAGCTTCATGAGCCACAGGAGTAAGGGGGTAGGCTGGGTTTCCCACATTCACTATTGGCATTTCAACATCCCCAATAGTAACCCTCTGGTCTGGAAAAATAGTCCCTGCTTGCAGCTTTCTGTACTGGCCTTTGTTCTTAAAGATGCATGCGTCATGCACTTTCCCTGACTATCCTGCACTGATGTCAGTAAAATGTCCTCGGTGATCCTCCAGTGCTTGCAATACTATAGAAAAGTATTTCTGTTGATATACTCTGTAGCAAGGTGGTCTGATGCCAGAATAGTGATATGCATGCCATTTATCGCCCCAGTGCAGTTTGAGAACCCCAGTGCAGCAAACCATCCAGTATGTCCTGCACATACCCCAGAGTCACAATCCTTCGTAGCAGGATGTGATTAATGGCCCTGAACACTTTCCGAACTCCAGATTGATTCCCGACTGATCAGTAGCAATCTGGCATTGCTTCAAGCTTCGATGCCGTGATTGCCATTTGCTTCCTTAGCGTCAGTGCAACTCTCATTTTGGTGTTACTTCAGCGGAGGGCTGGGGTGAGCTCTGCACACAGTTCCAGGAAAGTGGCCTTGTGCATCCGAAAGTTCTGCAGCCACTGCTTGTCATCCCATACCTGCATAACAGTATGATCCCACCAGTCAGTACTTGTTTCTCAGGCCCAGAACCAACACTCCACTTTCTGCAGCTGCTTTGCGACTTCCAACAACAGCCTGGAATTGTTTCTTTCCATGGCTCAATTTTCCATGTGGCTCCTCTCCTGACTCTGGAAATACTGCAGGATCAGGCACGGTGTGTTTGCAATGCTCATCACAATAGTGCAGAGCTACGCAGGAACCAGGCTTCTCACAGAGATGGTGAATGCGCAGATTTGTGGGGCTTTTGAAAAGAGGTGCGAAACGTTATCGGATGTAGATAAAATTATGGGATGGAGAACACACCATCATGGGACCTTGAAATCGTGTTCCCAGTCACCCCTGCATGTCTCATTTGCCCCCAGGAGGCATTGCAAACCCTTTACAAAACACCCTGCGCTTGATGGTGGCGAGTTGCACAGTGGGCTGCTTACCCAGGGTGCACTGCTCTCTGCATCTATGCAAACGCCGCTAGTGAGGACATGCACCACTGACACAAGGAACGTAGTGTGGACATGTAAAAGTGATTTAATTGCTGTGACTGCGGTACGTCTATGTAACTTAGATCAACTGTAGTGTGGACCAGACCTGAAGAAGAGATCTGTGTAACCTCGAAAGCTTGTCTCTCCTCAACAGACGTTGGTCCAATAAAAGGTATTATGTCATCTGCCTTTTGTCTCTAATATCCTGGGACCAACACAGCTACAACAACACTGCATATAACAGTGTTCTGATTTGGTGGTGGTGTGATAATGTAAATGTTTATTCAAGGTCCCAAGACAGTGAAGAATCAGCTCCTTTTATCCTTTGTAGCCCTGATATTAGGCATGGTTGTTTATTTGAAATGAAATCTTTAACAAAGATGGTTTCTTTCATTATGTTACCTTCTCCCACATCCTATAAAGGAATCTGATACCACAACATCTTTGCCTCGTGTACTATGAAGCAATGAACTAGTTTCTGTCATAGCTGTTATACCGGTACCAGATGACTTACTTTCAGGTCAATCATTCTGCCTCCTTCAGCTTTAAAACACAGACCCTCCTGTTCTAATCTTACTTTTTTATTTTTCATTCCGGTCTTTATATATAAGAATGAGGAAGAGAGAAAAGCTTTTGGTACAATATATATATAAGAGAAGAAAGAGATACCTTGAATGTTATAAGGACTATGTGACAAAGAGGGTCTCTGGGAAATTGCCTTTCCCTCATGTCTCAGATTATGGTCTTGTCCAAGATTAGCTCTCAACAGTTCAGCCTGTGGCTGCTGCTTAGGTCCCTAGTGAAAACAGTAGCTGTCATATACATCAGCAGACACGAACACGGAGTATTTCCAACTCCGAAAGGAGGTGCTGCACCACTGGTACATGGTAGAATATCCTATCTTCTCTATGACAACTATGTAAAAGATATTACCTCATCCACCTTGTCTGTCTGCAAGGGAGACAGAACAGTAGAACAGATATACTGGGCAGGCTCCAGCTGGCACTAAAGGAGTGGATTCTAAACCAGCACTGTTGTTTTTTTTCCAGGAGAGCTGCATTCTAATCTGCCTGTTTTTTTACTGATATGCTCACCTACATGGACCATGTCACTGTACTATCTGTGTGCCTTTTAGTCATTAATGGATTTTATCCTCATCACACCCCTGTAAGATAGGGAGGCACTATGCCTATTTTACAGATGAGAGACTGAGTCCCAAGTTAGATTAACTTGTTCAGCCTCACATGGGAAATCTGTTGCTGAGCTGGGCATTGTACGTATGTCACTTTAGTGTTACTAACATAGACCATCCTTCCTACGACATTGCAGAGGACATGAGTAATTATAAGTGTTTTTATTTAGTGATCGTCCTGTGCTTCAGTTTGTGGACATTCAGTCTAAGAATATTGTTGGGTGGACTTGTTTATTTGGGGATGCGGAAGGAATTATGAAGGAAGTGGAATCAGTTTAGCCAGAAGTGTAGGAGTTTTAGTTTATCCCCAGTCAACTATACTTTATTCTTTTTTAGAAGTTATTCTTGCATGCTCCAGTTTGGTTTTGGAAATGAATTTGGATATTTGTATCTGCAAACTAGATGACTGATGTTTAAATACTGTTATTTACTACTTGTGTTGTAGTAGCACCCATATGCCGTAATTGGGATGCATCTAATTGGAAGCAAGACTAGTGAAAGTAACAGACTATAGGAGAAAATGGGTAACAATGAAAAGATCACATGGTTACATTTGTTGTTGCACAACTTGTACTAATCTCTCAGCAAAACTAATTGTGTTCTTTTAATTGGGTTTTATTTAGTTTTGCATTAAGGAATTACTGAATATTCATGTTTGACACATATACCAAAATATTTCTAAAACATCCACTGCACTGTCAACCTACTGAGTGATATGGTCCAGTTTATCTGGTATGTTTGTTCCAATACAGGGTTGTCCCTTTCCCCTTTTTTAGGCAGAGAAGTGTGACATTTTTACAGGGAGGTGTGTGAGGCTAGAACCTTTTCCTCACACTACACATTTATTAGATGTAACAAAATGGAGGATTGGAAGATTCACTTTTCAGCTTGGTACTTCAAACAGCAATATTATGTAAGGCCTTCGCCTTTACTATGTGTACACTGATAGCTATATTTGCTCTCTGTCAGAATGTTTCATATCATTGGGAATGAGAAGTCATGTATTTCTGAAGAAGGAAAATTACTTGTATTTCTTTCCGTTTTATTCTGCAGGACCTTTATTCGTTATATATCTAACCTCCCTATTTTGAAGAATGTATAATCTGATTTTGCACAGCCATTGTCAGTCATAGCTTTGGAAATGTTTGTACCAAGCACAAAAGGCTGGCCCATTACTATGCTTGATATATTTTTGCCTTCTTTCTTCCTGCTAAGGGGAGAGATACTGCTGTCTATCAGGATACTCCTTTGTTTGATAGAGTGAGAGTTAAACTATGGGAATCAGAGTTTGACATCATGTAATATTATTTCTTTGGTTTTCTATTTGAAATTAAATCAAAGCAAAAAAGAAAAACAAAACAAAAATCCCTCCAAAAAACGAAACCCAAAAATCAAAGGAAACCTCCCAAAGCACATAAAATCCATCTCCTAAAATTACCATCTGTTCCTGTCTCCTCAGTGTACTCTAGTCAGTTACATGAAGCCATGAAAGCTTATTTGTTAGTATTTTTATAAATAGCCCTGTCTAAGTATTTATCATCATACATGAAAAATAAATTAATGTTTTAATTAAATATTAATATGCAATTTACAAGCAAACCTAGTATTTTATGGAATCTGTGTTGTAGCCTGTGATTACTTTTGTGTATATCTTTTATTACAGGTTGATGAAAAGGCTCTAAAGCACATAACAGAAATGGGTTTCAGTAAAGAAGCCGCAAGGCAGGCGCTTATGGATAATAGCAACAGCCTAGAAGCAGCATTAAATTTTCTTCTGAACAGCAGTAAACAGAAACCTATCCAGGGACCGCCACCTAGAGGTATAACTTGTAAAGCTGTGTTTTAGACTAAAGTGTCTATATAATAGGGGATCTTGTGCCACAAGCACAAAAAGATAATAGTGGCCTTTGTTAGTGTATTTGGAGTTATGCAGGGGCATAATTGCATGTATGTTTTCCTCTGAGTCGTAATGAATTCAAGACCTGACAGTGAATATTGGAAAAGTACCTCTGTATATTATATCTATAATTGTTTCCTAGTTAAAAATCGCACACTTAAGTGTTCTTAATTGAAAATAATCTATGTAATTTGTGGATCTGATTATATTTTCCTGTTTAATGGCTTCAGCTGTTTTATAAAAACAATTACAATAAAAAGAAATGTAGAGTTTCTGTAGATTTGTCTGAATCTAAGTCATTTGTTTGTAATATCCACAGGGAAAGGAAAGGGCAGAGGCCGACTAAGACCTGAAGATGAAGAGGAACTAGGAAATGCCAGACCTTCTGCACCCAGCACACTGTTTGACTTCTTAGAGTCCAAAATGGGTACTCTGACAGTAGAAGGTATGTTTTTGAAATTAAAATGATCTATGGAAGCAAGATCAGACAGCGCTGGTCTAATTTTTCTAAGTTACTAAGCACCTTCTTCTATATAGATGTTACTGAGATTTGTGTCAGGTCAGAACATCTGAAAATCCAGGTTGTTCATGTTTCATGTATGTATGGTGTTCAATTAAAATGTATATTCATCTTTTCTCACTATCACTTGGTTATAAAGAGATGTTACAAGTTTATTAATAGGAAAAGACTTAATTACTTCATCGTCATCATGGATCTAATGTAAAATATTACATTATCTGTTTGCCATTGTAGTGTGTTCATGGTCGTCCCTCCCCCTCTGGCTCAGGGGGAGGCCACTCTGTCTCACTACAGCCATGAAAATGTTAAATTATCATTTTCTGTGAGTTCTTTTAATACACTGCTTAGATAAAAGGCTGATGTGGAGGTAATAGTGTGTGGTTTTGCTGAAGTATGGGTGAGTGGACATGAAGCAGATTGGAAGTAACGAGGCCTTGGGTTATCTCAAGGTGGGTCTGCATATCCAAACCACTTAAGAGTGCGGGGGACAGAAGGTAAAAGGAAATAAAGATGCTTACAAGAAAGGGGACCTGACTATCCCAAAGAAAACAGTACTATTTTCTCATGAGAGGGCTAGTTTCCTTTTCTTCTGGGTTCATAGGGTTTCAGTTCCTTCCTCTTCAGCCACATTTAGATGATATAAGATGCTTCTGTCCACCTAGCTGTGGAAGTGTCTTCACTTAAATTTGGCTCCCACTGATGTAAGTGCCTCTCTACACCTATTTAGTAACACCACTTCCCCAATCTCCTGCACATATCATCCTGCCCACTGATTACCATCTCGACCGTCCCGATCTTCTGACCCAGTACAAGGGCAAGATCAAGCATCCCAGTCGATCCATGTCTGCTCCATCTCAGAGTGTGGTATTTAGATTGTCATCAACTATCAAATGGGCATGTTCCTCTGCTGTATAAGACATTCTCTTTAATAGTTGGAAAAATTCCATTAGATAATGTTATCAGGCCAGTTGGAGATGCTTTTCGTCTTGGCCACAACATAGATTTTACCAAAAGCAGAAGAGATTCTGCTAATCCTGGACTATGTTCTATCATTAAAAATGTTGGATCTTGCCCTCAGCTCTTTGAGAGTCCACCTAGCAGCGATCAGCACACTCCATCCTTCTATGGAGTGTTACTTTGGTTTTACAAACCTGCTAACTGCTAGTTTTTGGAAAGGCCTCCTAAGAACCTTCCCACTTCTCTAAGTGATAGCGCCTCAATGGTGTCTGAGTCTGGTACTCTCAGTATTAACATCCTTTGAGCCAATGGCATCTTGCTCCATGTCTCTTCTCTCCATGAAGGTCACCCTCCTTGTTGCTATCACTTCGGTGAGAAGGGTTGGGAAACTTGGAGCTATGATGGCGGACCCATCATTTACAGTATTCCACTCGGATAAGGTCTTCTTACATCAACACCTGAAATTTTTACCAAAGGTAATCTCCCAGTTTCATATTAACCAATCCATTCACGGACTGATTTTCTTCCCGAAACAGCATGCATCTGCAGAAGAATCTCCCTCAATGTCCAATGAGCGTTAGCCTTTTACCTTCAGAGAACAAAAACAATCAGGAAGTCCCCTAGACAGTTCCAGCTGGGTAAGGAATGTTAACTGAACTATCAGTGGGGATAGGCAAGTCTGACTGGCAGGAAGCATACATGGGTCATTCACTCTAGCGCTGTCTGTAGTGCCAAATTAAAGGCAGGCCATGTTGGAAAGTATCTGTCTCCTGAAATGCTATGGTATGGTGTGTCTTGGGTGTACAGATCATTTGAGGCTACCTCTTTCATCTCTTCAGTTGAAGTTGTATTCAGTGATTTTTCACCTCTGGAATGCATTCCACTCTTTCTCAATAACCAAATGATGTCAGGATTAGTGAATGTAAAAGGTTCTCCTGTAGTCGATTCAACAGCTGCTTCATTGAAAACTGGACTTCTTGGCTTTGGAATTTTTGTACCTTGGTAGGAAAATGAGTGAGTCATGAAGTCAGGAAGCTCCTTAAAGGAGCGGTTCTTTACTGTCTAGACAACACTTGAGGCTGGGACTTGCCCCGTTAATACACTCTTGATAGCAGACCACAATAGTACCGTTGCCACCTGCTGGATCTTCCAGGAATATCTTATCAGGAGCACAAAATCTAAACCTGCCCTTGATGAGGTCTGGGAGAACATACAATTCTTCATTCAGTTCCATGTGGCAAAGAATCTTGTTTGCAATTGCATTTTCCAAATGGAGTACTTTGTTGTAATCAGTGGAGGAGCCAATGCTGTGCAAGATACATGAGAAATTTGCCACAAGTTTTGGAATCAATTGGTAAACCAACAGCTGCTTGTTATGGTAGGTTATCTGTATGCCGCACAGTTGTTGTGTATGTTTTGAAAACCTGCCTTTTACTCAAGCACTTGTACATGAGGCTTTGTGATAAATGGCAGCCTTCTGCTCCATTTGCTTGTTGTCATGCTGGTGCTAAAGTCACTTCAACCACTGATACATCACTTAAAGTAGTAGTACAGGTTAGGCAGTAATATTTTTTCAGGTTTGGCATCTGCTATGGATCCCTGTAGCAGCTGCAAACAGTCTCTTCATATTAGTGTTGACATCAGTGCTTTCTTCCGCTTTTGATGGTATCACATCTTTTGTAGCCTTTAAGAATATGCACTGTGATTAATTTCTGTGGATGGGATTGCTAAGAACTATGATCATATCCCACAGTTCATCTTCAATAAGAGCCTTGTGCTAAGCATTTGCTCCTCTTCAATCCCATTCAAAGCATATATTTCTCCGTATTTAGCCTCTGCACTGGCCATCACCATTACTTTCGTATCCATTAGAGCCACTGTGATTCAATTTCTCTACTCCAGCTAAGTATTGCAGCTTGTAGGAATAAAATCAGTATTTGTTTGTTGCTTTTACCTTTTGACACAACACATTACATACATTCTTGGTATAACACTCAATGTGATATGCAGTGTGGTATGTCTTTTGGGTCAGGGCGCCCACTTCACTTTCCATGCAACGTTCTCACTAAGAGTGATTTATTCATACAGTTTCTCCTCTGTTTCTCGTGTTGAAACTGTGCTTAATGGATGCTTTTGGGCTTCCAACTTACCACAGAAGAAAGAGGTGTTCTTCTTGAAACCTTGTGTAGCGATTGCGGGTCCCCCTCACTCAGTTCCTCAGGATGATGCTAAGTCCCATCAGGAGCTGTTGAAAAGAGTTGCCTCTAATTTGGGGCTCCATGCGGAGGAGCTAGAGGAACCATTGGACTCCCTATTCAATGTTCTCTGCTCTACAGCACCGGCCAGGGTGGCACTGCCCCTGCATGAGAGGTTGTCAAAGATCACAAATGCCCTGTGGCAGACCCCCTCATTTATGCTCCCCCTCTCCAAGAGGGCAGAAAGAAAATACTTTGTTCCGGCTAAGGGTCATGAGTACCTCTATACCCACCTGTCCCCAAACTCCCTGGTAGTAGCAGCCGTTAATGAGCGGGAGAGGCAAGGCCAACCAGGAGCTATACCTAAAAATAAGGACTCAAAGAGGCTGGATTTGTTCGGATGCAAGGTGGTGAGAGTGCTGACGGATAATACAGCCTTGATGTTCTACATCAACAGGCAAGGGGGAGCACGCTCGTCGACTCTCTGTCAAGAGGCTTTCCATTTGTGGGATTTCTGCATCAAGCACACGATCCACCTGGAGGCCTGTCACCTCCCTGGGTTCAGGAACACGCTGGCAGATTGCCTCAGTAGGTCCTTTTTTTTCTCACCGCAAGTGGTCACTTCATCCAGAGGTAGCCTGATCGCTTTTCCAGAGGTGTTGAACTCCCCAGGTGGACCTGTTCACCACCAGACAGAACAGGAAATGTCATCGGTTCTGTTCTCTGTAGGGTCTGAGCAAGGACTCTCTCTCTCTGACGCCTTCCTCCTGTCATGGTCCGGGGGTCTGATGTATGCGTTCCTGCTGATCCCACTCATCAGCAGAGTCCTGTCAAAGATGGAGAAAAGGCCAAAGTCATCATGATCGCCCTGATGTGGCTGCACCAACATTGGTTCGGCATGCTCATGGACATGGCAGCGACCCTCCATGGCCCCTTTCCGACCAACCAGATCTGATTTCGCAAAATCATGGGCGCCTCCTACACTCCAGCCTCACCTCCCTCCACCTCACAGTTTGGATGCTGCGTGGTTGAACCCGGAGGAGCGGGCCTGCTCTAACAAGTCCAGCAAGTCCTCCTGGAAAGCAGGAAGCCTTCTACTAGAGCAACCTACCTGGCAAAGTGGATGAGGTTTTCCCACTGGGCGTCTGAATGTAGCATCTCTCCATCGAACTCCCTTTACAATCTATTTTAGATTACGTGCTTCATCTTAAGAGCCAGGGGCTGGCCTTCTCTTCCATCAGGCTGCACCTTGCAGCCATCTCCGCTTTCCACCTACCGATCCAAGGTCAGATGGTGTTCTCGCACAACATGTCGATCGGATTCCTGAGAGGCCTCAAGAGGCTCTTCCCACTGGTTCGGGCCCCTGTCCTCCTGTGAGACCTTAACTTGGTTCTTTTTAGGCTCATGGACCTGCCCTTTCAGCTTATGGTTTCCTGCTCACTTTCCCACCTCTCATGGAAGGTCGCTTTTCTTGTGGCAATAACATCGGTGAGATGAGTGTCGGAGATTAAAGCCTTGACATCAGAGCTGCCACACATGGTGTTCTAGAAGGACAAAGTTCAACCGCGACCCGATCCGGCCTTTCTGCCAAAAATTATGTCTTCCTTCCATGTCAACCAGGACATCTTCCTCCCAGTGTTTTGTTACAAGCCTCACACCATTAGTGAGGAAAGGCAGCTGCACGTCCTGGACATCAGATGTGCCCTGGTATTTTACCTGGAGCATACCAAGCCCTTGTGCAGGTCAACCCAGCTCTTCATCATGACAACAGAC